GCTTGGAAAGGAGGGTGGGATTAGGGGGCAGACATTGCAGACAAGCAGCCTCTCTCCCCAGTTCAACTCTAAAGTGAAACTCAACCCCTGCCCTCCCAATCCAACAGCAAATGTCTGCTGGGTTGGGAGGGTCAGTTTAACTCCTGGGGCTTTCTGTGAAGCACCATAGTTAAAACAGGAAACTGAACATCTGCCAGTGCCCTCAAAGGCTGAATGCCTCTCATGATGCTGCTTTCTTTGGAGGCGGCCTTTATAGGAGTTGCAAGAAATCAGCCTTTTCAGATGAAGGGGTATGACATTTTACGTAGATAATTGGCATCATAGGATTTTTCATTTGAAGGGGGTAGGGTGTGTGTGCACGCGTGCACATGCTTTCTTTCTCTCTCACACATACATGCACCGCCCCCCCCCCGTTTGTATGAGAAACATTGTCATTTCTTACTCATAACTGCCAAATATAAATTTCACAGCTTTTGTGAAGAAGCAAATTAGTTAGCACTATCAATATTAATGGTTTGAGAGAGAAGCTTGTGTTAGGATCACGAGGGGAAAGCCCATACGTAATTACAGTGACATCACGACAGAAGTGTTAATTTTAAAGCATCTCTGTTTACAAGCTGTTCCCAAATACATAGACATCGAAGAATTATTCATTTTAGTTCAGTGTGCTGAAAATGTCAGCTTAAGTAGCTGGCTTATGAATTTTAAATAGCTTTACCATCCCCAAATTAGTGTGCTTGCCTATAAATTTCAGTTGTTCTGTAATGGAATTTCACTGGCATTCCATGAAGTAAACAGAAAATGTGCAATGTCTACTGAATTTTACGAGTTAAAAAAAGAATTCTTTCACATAAATTTGCTACTAGTGTTATGCAGGATATCTTCTAGCTTGAAGTTATATCAACAGAAATACTTGCTGCATTATTTACAAACAAACCGTAGTTCTAGATCTGAAATATTTGTTGCATTTCAGCAACACTTCTGTACCATCTGCCACAGAAACTTGGATTTCCTTAAACTATTAAGCACCATACGTCCTACCACTTGGGAATATTAATCCTGCCAAAATATATGATGTGTAAGAGAAATTTGAAAAATGACAATCTTGTTCCTTATTATTATTACTATAGGAAATATAATGGTAATTTGTTACAGACTAGTTAATCAGAACTTCCTTATGATGATGGGACGGCTTTTGGATTCTCTCGCTTCTCCCAAAACACAGGTGCTTGCTAACTACAGCATTGCTGCATGATCTCCATTAGCTATTTGTTATCTAAAGCCTAAGATGTTTCACTGACTCCCCTATTATCCAATGGCATGTGTAAAGTAACAAATTCATTATTCACAACTTCTTTAAAAATTAATTGCAGATACGTACTACAGTGTCTTGGACTTTTAATTTAAAGGTGAGATGAATTATTTTCCATTTTTCTCAATTTGGTTAATAAAATAGCATGGTCAGTTTAATTTTTGTTTATAGTCCATTTCATTTTCAGATGCACATGCAGTAGGCCAGTGTTAAGTTTGAGTCACAAATGCTGCCTGGGCCTTTGAAAATTGTGCAGAAACATTGTTTTCATGGCATTGTTTGGTGTGAGAGGAAATACATTTGCATGTGTGTGTACATCTATAAACTCACGGAAATCTATGCACAGATGTGCATATATTTGCATTAGGTTGTATAAAAAAAAAGTACTTTTGTGATTTATCTTGACCATATCAGTGACCCATGTTTTCCTTTACTACTTAAATGTAATTCTCCAGATGCAGTTCTTCTGCTTATCTAGACATACTCTCTGGCTGTTTATTAAACTGACCAGCATAACTGTTTTTGGCTGTCTTGGTAAGTCTCCAGAAAGTGTTTTTTACGTCTTCCCCCTGGCCTTTCTTAGCTAGGATGCTAATTCTCCAATACTTATAGATCCAAAAAATACACAAAGTTTAAATATTAATGAAAATGAGCAAATAAATCCCTCTGGACATGGCCATGCTGAGATGAAATGGCATCATTAAAATACATTAAGCCCTTACTTAAAGCCCTAGCTATTCTGTTTTGGAATATACCTTTCATGAGCACCACTGCTGCCAAGTTGCAGTTTTCATTTCCAAATACATATTCACACTTGAGCTCTGTACACCTGGGACTCAGCTGCAAGCAATGAAAGTAGCAAGCTCTATCTAGGATCTCTTGAGGATATATTGACAACATTTCCTAAAAGCAGGATGTTGGCTGCCATGTTTCCCCTTCTTTACTTGTGGCAGGGCTGTGTTTGCAGAAGTCTTATATAGAGTTTATATTATGGATTGTATAGGAGAGTTTGAATAGGGATGATCCTGCCTCAAGCATGCCCTTGGACTAGATCAGTGGCTCATAATTTCTTTTTGTACTAGGACCCATTTGTAAACACTGGGCAGGCCTGACCCAGTAAAATAGTGTAAGTGAAAAAACAGCCCCCTGGCCCTGCCTGTTCCTCTCACTCCTGACCCAACCCTGTCCCTAGACCCCCAGTGTTTGGGGCAGGGGGAAGTGTGTGGGGTAGGGAGGGGGCCCAAGCAGCCCCTTGCAGGCTGGAATTCTGCCAGCCCGCAAAGAGAACCCACGTCTCAAAATAATCATAGATTTCATAGACATTAGGGCTGGAAGAGACCTCATGAGATCATCAGGTCCAGCCCCCTGCCCAAGGGGCAGAAAGTCAGCTGGGGTCAGATCACCCTGCAAGATAAGCATCCAAGTATTTCTTAAAGGTATCTAGAGTAGGTGCTTGCACCACTTCTGGGGGGAGTCTATTCCAGACTCTGGAGACTGGGTAAAGAAGTGTTTCCCTATGTCCACTCTAAAACGATTTTCCTGAAGCTTCTGACCATTAGATCTTGTCTTCCCTTGGGGTACCCTGGTGAACAGCCATTCTCTTTAGTTTTTTTCTAATGAACCCCCCCCCAAAAGGGTTACTATTTGATATCATCCCAGAGATTTTCCCACACTTTTCTCCTTTAAAGGAGAATCCATTTTTAAAGCTTGGTTGTGGCCCTTTCATACATTCCTGCGACCCGCTTTTGGGTCATGACACACAGGTTAAGAAAGATGGGATTAGACCCCTGGAGGTCCCTTCCAGCCCTACTTCTCTATGACTCTATAACTCCAGGTGCTCCTCTGCATCGTCCCAGTCTTTAAAATATCTTGGCAGAGGAAGCTTGTGCCAAGGTTGCCCCTGCTCAGGGGCAGGCAGTCCCTTGAGAGCTCTGGATCTTGCTCCCCTCCGTCCTTTCCTTGCTGGAGAAGATGCTTGGAGGCAATGGATGTATTTGCCAGGGGGTGCCCCCATCTCACTGGGAAGGAAAGGATGGGTACGTGCAGACTAGGCAGAGGCTCCTTAATCACAGAGGCTCCACAGAGGCATCAGGCACATCATGTCCCTGGGGGGCACAGAGAGCAGTGCAGCTCCCTCCTCAGTTTCACTCCCCTTCTCCAGCCCCTCTAACTTCCCATCGGCTGCCTTGGAGGATCCCAGAAGAGCCGCAACATCCTCCTCCCAATCCTAGGCGGGCTGCAGGAGGCGGGGGGAGCATAGGAAATGGAAGTTGGGAGTTCAGTGGTGCCGGGAGGCTGCTGAGCAGATCGCATCTGGGGCCGGGGCGGAGGAGGAGAGGGGCTGGGGGAGAGCGCACGTCCCATCCAGCCCCCCCACCCCTGCGCTCGCCGCTGCTCCGGCTCCGACGCGGAGGAGCCGAGAGGAGTCGCCTCGCCGCAGAGATCGGGGTTGATCCGAAGTGGCTGCAGACCTGCCGCCCTTCCTCCTCCTCCCCATGAGGGCTCTTTCCCCCAGAGGCTCCGGGTTGCTTCCCCTGCTGCCTCCGGGATCGGGATGGAGACGCCTGCTTTCTGGCTAGTGCAACTTTTCCTCTGCCTGCTGTGGGGTGAGTACATCCCTGCCGGTGCTGGGGACATCTCCGGCAAAAAATAAAGGGGGGGGGGGAAATGCAGGGCAGCAGCAGCCCCTGCGCGGGGATCAGCGCTTCAAGCAGGGCTGCTAATGAGTTAGCAGTGATTTGCTGGGAAAGTTTGAGATTTAACTCTCAGCCTTAGTTCAAAGGGGAATGACAAACCACCCTATGAACTTCACTACTGGAGACAAAAAGTCAGGGGCTAAATATAGAATTGGATTTAGGGCATATTATAACCTGCCTGCCGTCTGATACCGCCCCCCCCCAACCTGTCTGCATTTTACCAGCTACATTTTCTCACCAGCTCAACACCTCCCCCACCCCATCCACCTAGGCTCTCACCTCTCCTCTCCCATCCCCTCTGATCCTCGCTGCCAGGCATTTGCATTTTCACAGACTTTGATTTTGCATACTGCCTTCTATTCCACCCAGGAGAGCACTAAACCTGTTCCAGCCTTTTGCACTAAAAAGCCCCATACTAGTCTCCCAAAACACCAGCAGTCTCCCAATGCCCGAAGAAGGGTGTTTGTGCTAGAAATCTTGCAAAAGAACAATTTTCCCAACTATTTAGTTGGTCTAATAAAAGGTATCACATCCACCCAAAGAACCTCATCAGCCTTAGTTCTGTTTCACTAGCAGCTGAAGCATTTCTGGGTTTCCCTTGGCAGGAGAAAGCAGATCACCCTTTCTCCTTTTATTTTTTCTTCTCCCCCCTCCTTCTCCCAGTCTTTTAGGCTGGTGATTTCCCCACCCCCCCTTGCTGGAGAGACAGACCCCTTCTGGAGTGGTGATTTTCAAGCAGGGTTTATTGTACCCTAGGAGGAAAACCCTAATAAAGTTTCCACCACCTACTTCCCAACTCCCAAGCTCACTCGGGATCTTTCAGTGACAGTCTCCCATCAGAAAGGCCTGCTGTGTTTTGGGAGAGTAGTCGGGGTCTTTCCAGTGCAAAAGGTTTTTTTTTTTGCAGCAATATTAATTGTTCCAGAACAGGCTTTGCTGGTGATCTCGGTGGCTGGAACTCTGTTTTGAAAAGAGAGACTGCAGAAAGGCTCTGTAAGATACTGACTCTCCTTATGCCCGAAGAAGAGTGTTTGTGCCCAAAAGCTTGAAAAGAACATTTTTTTCCAACTATCTAGGTGGTCTAATAAAAGAGATCACATCTACCCAAAGAACCGAGTCTGTAAGATACTAGGTCTTGAGAGAGGACTTTTCAAAGAGCAGAAGGAATCTCTTCTTCCTGGTGAAAGCAACCCTGGGACTGGATCTCTGATAGTGTCTTGTGAGGAGGGAGAAGCTGTCTCCAGGCTCTACTCCCCTCTCCCCATCCCCACGCCTTATCAATGGGTTGTACAGTGTCAGATGTGTATATTTTGCCTCCGGTGTTGGTGATGCTGATTCTGCGTCTGGCAGGGAAGCGCCTTCTAATCGCACAGCAGATGCTTGATGTGAGTTCCAGAGAGCAAGAGGGAAATAAACAGTTTGAGACCAGACCAAACAAACCATCCAGAAAAGTGTTAACTGAATTGTGGCTGTTGTGGATGCTTATGCACAAAGCAGATGGCTTCCCCTCCCACACCCCTTTGTTGCAATTGTCCGAACTGAGGTTGCATGTTTCCCTGAAATATAGTTCAAAATAATCATCTTTGACGTGGCAACGCGTGCGCGCACACATGCACGCCCACACACGCACACACACTTTGCCTAGGTTCTGCAGCAGACAGACACATATGGACACATACATACACATGCACACACACTTGGATGCCTAGATCCTGCAGCAGAAACAGGCACGCACACATGGATGCCTAGGTCCTCCAGCACACACAGAAGCACACTTTGATACAGTATTGCCAACTCCACTGTGTCAAAAATCATGAGATGAACTCTTAAAAAATCAAGAGATTAGCATGTAAATCATACCATGCTATTTTTGAAGTGTGTGTGTGTGTGGGGGGGTGTTATTTGTGAAGGTGTGGGGGACTGTGGGTGTGTGGGGGGGTTTGGAGTCTGGAGAGGGGGGTCCCCACACACCCTGGCAGGAGGCTGGGTACTGTGGGTTAAGAGTGAGAAGCAGCAGCAGGGCTGGGTGGGCTGTGGCTTGGGAGTAAGGAGCAGACACACAAAGACACTGACACACACAGACAACACCCAGCTGGTACGTAGAGGGAAATGGGTAGGGGGGGCCAGATCGAGGTGGGGGTGAATGGGGTCCTGGGGCCAGGCCAGGTCATCCAGAGGCATGGCAGAGGGGCATGGCCCCCCACAGCAGTGCACACTCCTAGGGAGGCATGGGGCATGTGCCCCCCAGGGGGCAGAGCCAGGCTGCCTGCTGCAGGCTGGGCTCTGCTGCCTTGCCCCAGGAGCTCAGCTGTGCAACACTATTGCCACCTGTCAAGCAGGCAGGGGACATGGGGTGTGCTGGCTGTGTGGCTCATCCCCCCACCCCCTGGCAGCAGGAGGCACACGGGGCAAGGCAGCAGGGTGCAGAGCCCCAGCTCGCAGTGGACAGCCTGCTTTGATGCCTTAAACTTGCAGTGGACACATGGGCACATGTGCACACACATATTTTTATGCCTAGATCCTGCAACCGACATGCACACGGACACAAGCATACATGCTTTGAAGCCTAGATCCTGCAGCACACGCGCGCACACACACACACACACTTGAACACACATGGACACACACATGGACATGCCTCCTGCTTTGGTGCCTTGATTGTTTAGCAGATACACATGCTTTGGTGCCTAGATCCTGCAGCCAATATCCGCACATGGACACCCCCCCCCCGCAACACCCACACCCCTTATATGCCTAAGTCCTGCAGCTGACGCGTACACAGGGACACACGTGTGCACACACACATTTAATGCCCAGATCCTGTAGCTGACACACACATGGATACATACACGCACTTTTATGCCTAGATTCTGGGGCTGATGTGCATACACAGACTGTTTAATGTGTAGATCCTGCAGATATATCTAGATTTAGCCAAAATGGTACTATTGTCAGTCAGACTTGCAAAATTGATAATTTAGGCTTTCTTCTGACCACTTGTCCAAAATCTCATACACAGTGTTTATTAGGGGTGCATCAATAGGGATTTTTGAGTCTGATACCAATAGCTGATTTTTAAGGAGGCAAATTGGCTGATACCTATCTGATTTCTGATACAGCATGGAGAGCTGCATGCACCTGGTAAGCCTGTTGTGGTGGAAGGGAAGGGGGGAGAGAAGGGGTGTTGGGGGGCAGATCAAGGTTCCTTGGAGGAAGTGGGGCTGGGGCAGGCGCTGTCCAGCCAGGGCTGGGTGGGCATGGGATGAAGCCACAGCTCCTCTGGGGAGTTCAGGGAGGGTGAGGCAGCTCAGGTCACTGCGCACACCCTGGGAGGGCATGATGGGAGTGTGTGCCCCTGGATCTGCGCGGGGCAGGGCAGCTGCCTCTGTGGGCTGGGGCCACACCGGGTTCTTCCCAGTGGGGGCTGGGCTGGGCTGCGCTTGGGGCAGGTGGCGGTGGTGCTGGGAGCAAGGCTATAGGGGAAGCTGCAGCCACCCCAAAATTCACTGTAGCCCCCCAACCTGCCCTCCCAGCACTGCTGCTGCTTTCCCCGAGCACAGTTGAGCTCAGCTCCCCCCACCAGAAAGAGCCTGGTGCAGCCCCAGCCTGCAGCAGCAGCCCACCCTACACACACAGATCTGGGGGTACGCCCCCATGCCCTCCCAAGTTGTGTGCAGCAGCAGGACCCCCCCCCCGCACCTCCTGAATGAGCTACATCTCGTGTCCCGCCCCAGCTGGGTAGTGTCTGTCCCAGCCCCACTCCCTCCCTCACGGTGTGGGCCTTGATCTGCACACCCATGCTCCTTTCCTCCCCCCTCTCTGTCTACCACAACAGACTTACCATCTGCATGCAGCTCACCAAGCTACTGGGCTGTGCTCCTCCCTGCCTACATGCTGTGCTGCAGCCGTGTGCATGCATGGGCCATTTATCAGTCACGTAATCAGCCGCATCAGACTGATTTCTGATACAAATTCCGAAAATTTCCACTTTGCTTTCTATTGGTGCCCATCCAATATTGGACCAATGTATTGGTACACCTCTATTGTTTACCAGGTTACGAGTCCAGAAATGCACTTCTAAGTGCTGATGGCCTGAGCAGAATGAATCAACCCCCTTTTGAATGGCTTCACACTAGATTCCAGGTGCAATATACTTTCATTCTGGGGTACTATGCGTTTGGGAAACAAGTTGCGTGTTCAGGAGGCAAGGTGAATCTGTTGAACATTTGCTCAGCTCTACACGGTCACTTGTAAGTATAGAGTCTCCCTATGCCTGACGAAGGGTGTTTGTGCCTGAAAGTGTGCAAAGAACTTTTCCCCAACTATTTTAGTCAGTCTAATAAAAGAGATCACATCTACCCAAAGAACCTTGCCTGCCAGATAACTTTCAGATATTTCACATCTTTTATTTCGGATGACCCCATTGTCAGCCCCTGATACTTCATTTTTGCTGGCCAGGTAGCTGGCTTTAGGAATCCAGCAGTTCATGCCTTGTATGTAGGGACCTACTTAAATCGTGGTGAGACTAAATAATTTTCACGGGTTAGTTGTGGCATAAAGAGCAAATTTTGTGCATCTTTCCCAGATGTGCTCTTCCAGCCCCATCCTTCAGCACTGATTGGTGGAGAAGCCCTGGGGAGGGGGGGAAGAGGGATTAGGGGGCAGCCATCATTTTGTCTGCTTCCCTTTGTGTAGCCCAACCAGCCGGTGCCTTCCCCTGCTCTCCCTCCCCGCTGCACAGGCTGTGAAGCTGGGCTGCAGCTGCAAGGACCACTGGCTCCTACTGGGGAACCAGCATTTTTGTTTTTATTAAAGCTTTTTCGAGTTGATTTTGTGGACAATTCTAGATCCTGTACGCATTTTGCCAGGGGTGGGCAAAATGCGGCTCAGGGGCTGGATGCGGCCCACCA